GGTCAATGTTCAGATGCGTGCCACATCATGGCGGCACTTCCGTTTTTAGCCTCAAAACCGTACGCCTGTCGAGACGACGTGTCACGTGACGACGCGAGCGAAGGGCGTCGGCGGCTGTCATGGCGCCGGCGCTGATTCCACCAAACAAAAGCAAACAGTGGGGACGCACGTTCTGACCTAACCTAACCTATTCTAATAATTTAATCGGTACTAATTGTGATAATTTATTAGAATAGGTTTAGGTTAGGTTAGAACGTGCGTCCCCACTGTTTGCTTCTCTTTGCTGGAATCGGCGATGAGCCGCCATGACAGTAAGTATCTGGACTTTAACCGCAGGCTCAGGCGCTCGCGTCGTCACGCGACACGGCGCGCCCTTCGCTCGCGTCGTCACGTGACACGTCGTCTCGACAGGCGTACGGTTTTGAGGCTAAAAACGGAAGTGCCGCCATGATGTGGCACGCATCTGAACATTGACCGTCATTGGAAATTTAATCCCGAATCATCAGTTTATTTATTTTCATTTCGTTCTTGTCATTTAAGTAGGATTAATATGACTCCACAGGGAATTAAATTTTGTTACGATTTAAAATTAAGCGCTGAAGAACTACTGAAGAGAACCGACGATTTAATCGACAGACTACGTAAAACATATGATAAAGTTGGTGCTTTAAGTAATGATCAAGTTTCTTGTAAAACTGTTCTCGAGGTAAAGTACATACCAAAGGAAATTCATAACTTAATCTTAATATATTGAAAAATATGGTAAAATTGCAGCTCTGAAAGGGGAAGGGATCTTATCGGAGCTGTAAACTGTACCCACAGGAGTAAAAAAAGTCAAAAGGAATCTATTGTCTATGTGTGACTCTGTGAATGTATCCCACCTGAAATAAGCTTATCTGGAGTTTTGAAGACACTCAGATTTGAGATAAAAGTGAAAAAAACTCAGAACTATTTCTGAAAATAATGCTAAGAATCAACTGTTTCACACTTTACTAGAGATGGCTGAAAGATTGTAAAATATGAGATAACTGTTGCACTAATACCAGGCTGTAACCATAGTCATGCATGTCACTAGCATAGTGAGGGGTGTAAGGGGGCCTATCATGCCCCGGGTGAAATTTATATTTGCTAAACCACTGATGCATATCATCACACTGTTAAACATACTGCGTGTTTAGCAAGTAGCCCAGATTCATTGCTATACCTTGTGAAGGGTCACGTGTAAACCATTGGTTCCTTTTGACATTTTTTTTTTATTCCTATGGGTATGAATCTACAGCTCTGATAACGTCCCAGCAGTCTTATTCAGAGCTGCAATGTTGCTGAAAAAATACAATTTTAGTACACAATTTTGAACAAGATTCTCTCCTTGCTCTCCCTAGAGATCAGCATCATCCTATCTTTATTTAAAAAAACACTGAAAGATTAAAGAATTGAAGCAGTTTTTCATGAGATAGGACTCCTGGATATCATTTCATATGCTACTGAATGATTTTTGAAGATTAACAAAAATTTTAAACCAAAATGTTTTGGAATTTTATTAATATTATAGTGTTTTCCTCTTTTCAGGAAGAACTAAAAATTCTGTCACATAATCTTTTATGTCTTTTCTAATTATTCAAAAATAATTACAACAAGTCCTCATATAATTTTCTAACACTTGCTTTCCAAAATGTTGAATGATTTGCTAAAGTTGTTGACAATTTAAAATTAAAAAAAACTTGGAACCATATCCTAAAACAGTATTTTAGTGTTTTCATCTTTACAAAGAGGAACTAAATATGCTTATGATGGGAATTGTATCATCTATATGATTTTATTTACTGAAATGCATTTATTGCACAGGATTGTCAATACACTAAAACTTCTGTAAATCTGCATATACTGTATATTAAAAGCAAAATGTTCCATCCCACCAAAACTGAAACCAACACTTTACAAAGTAGTACTTGTAAGTAGGTCACACCAGATCGCCTGTGGAGTCTACAATTTGTCCTGTGAAAGAACCACCAGTTAACTTCCTCTGCAGACTCGGCATGAATTCGTGGAAATGGTTAACAAAGTAGAAGGAAAGTTTTTGCATAGGGATAGGAGAGACAAGACTTTTGATTCAGACTTGGTGTTAAAGAGACAGCTATTTCTTTGCCCCCATAGCAACTATTTTTTAATGGAATAATAACATTTGGTTAAATACAGATATACAGATTTAGTTTTAGTTTATAGTGTTTTTAATAATTTTTCTGTATATATGAGCTATTCATTTTGAAAGTGAAGTGAGTCAAGTCTATGTTATGTTGTTGCTAGATATTTATTGGTTTGCATTTGAATGGGTTTAAAAATATTCGTAAAGGGTAATAGACTTATTTTTATAATTTTTTGGTCTTATTTCTTGTAAATTTAATATGCAGTAATGGATATATGTGTTATGTAAAAAAAATCATGGTTTTGGTATGCACCAATGGACTTGCCTCACTTTCAAAACCAATGATTTCTTGAAAACATTGATTTTTCTTTGAATGGAATGTAATTATAATAAGTAAATAAATACAATATTCAATTTTTTACTTATTTTATTTCAACATTTCATACTACTTTCAAAAAGCTACAATAAAACAAAAATAAATTTAATTTTATAGGAAAAAGTGGATAAATTTAATATGAAAAAATATTCAGTAATAAGTTGCATGCATATAATTATATTTCTTAGTTTAGATGGTGCAGATTTTTAAGTATTTATGATGAATGGGTAGTACAGAGAGTAATAAATCCATCATATATTTTTCTTTAGAATGGTCTTGCCTAACTTTCAAAATCAACACACAATAAATATCGACTGTATAAATTACTGTATAATAAGTAACAAATATATACTGATATTAAAAGACAATTATTGTGAACTGATTAAAAATGATAAATTTTATGTTAATTTGTAATAAAAATTAGCTTTAACTATTTTTTCACAAAATGGACTTGTCCCACTTTCAAAATCAATGGCTCATATATTAAAAGCAAAATGTTCCATCACTGCCATACACAAATAACATAAATTTAAAAATCAATTTGATTTACAATTTGAAAATTTCAAAACAACTTTTATACAGTTTTTAAAAGCATTTTATTTTTCAATTCATTTGATTTTAATTAGTTTTGATTTTATTATTAATTTTGGTTTTAGTGTAAAGACCATTTTTAAATTTAATTGTTATTTTAGTTTTAGTTTTTGTAATTATTTTTAATAATAACTTATTTAACTTTACTGCATTTTTGAACCCTTAACTACAATTTTTTAAATTAATTGCGACTCCATTTTTATTTTGCAACATAACTATAAAAATTGTTTTAGTGTTATTTTACACAAAAGATAATCAAATTTAAATTTATTATGTTTTTTTAGTAATTTCATTAATTTTTTAAATTTTAATTTTAAGCATGTTAACATTAATTGAATTGTTGGGCTACTTAGTAATATTAAAATATACTTATCTATTTTGTTTTTTAATTCTGCCTTGAGCAAACTGAGAAAACCTCTTGTAGGTAGCTCATATTGGCCAGGCCCACAATAGTACAGCTGGGTGGTGAGAAGGACCTGAAATAACTAGATGAATCATCCCAAAAAATTCCTAGTGTTATTTTACCTATCTGAAATGAACAACCAGATGACTGAGTGGTTAGAGATGGCTGCCTACCACTCTGAGATAACAAAGATCAGCTCCAGACAAGTTGAAAAACCCCAAGAATTGTTTATAGTAGATATGCCCATTCTTCACTATCTCGCTGCTCCATTATGGGCCTGGCCAAATTCATAATGGGCTTGTAAGAAAAATGCCCTCTTAGTGCCCTCAGAGTGCAAAGAATTATAAGAAAAAAAAACCTGTCTGGATTTTAGTCTGACTCGCCAAGAGAAGTATCTTAATTGCTCATTCATCTGGTCAACTATATATGTATATATAAATTTCTATTAATTTTTCTTCTAGCCTTTAAATTATGCAGAAGCTGAAAAGCAAACTGAGGGTGCTTTATATGAACTTCCAAAACATGTGTCAACTGATAAAGCACTTAGAGATGCAGGCAGTGAAGCTGATCGTAAATTAAGGGAATTTCACATTGAAATAGGGTGAGAGATAATATAAAGTATGCATCTTCAATTTATTTTTAAATATTTAATTAAACTTATTTGGTATTTACAGTATGCGACAAGACATCTTTAATAAATTGCTACTACTTGAAGCAAAGAACGAAACATTAGATTCAGAATATAGCCGATATCTACAAAAATTAATAAAATTAGGAAAGAGAAATGGTAATTATTTAAAATTTCAATAATGTAAAAAATATAACAAGACATATGTCTTTTTATTTAATGCATTACACTACTAACTAAAATATAATTTTTTGATATAAAATATAATTTTTATTGAACTGCAAGAGCTCGATGGAAATAGAACATTATATTTTAAATAGAAATATAAACATCCAAACATGATAGTTATATATTAAAGCCAAACAATTGCTGAATTATATTAGGCTATATTACTACTACTATTATTAATTAAATGCTAAGTAATTTGGCACTAGATGCAAGCATTAGGTATCATCTCTTATATTTCCAGAAATTTACACATTTCAAAAATTAATGCTAGTCAAATATTTTATTCTGGAAACAAAGAAAAGCACATAAAATAAAGTGAATAAATGAATTTTGTAAAATTAAGTAAGCCATATTTTTCTTTTATAATATAATTTATTATTTTGTTAGGATTACATTTGTCTCCAACTGTTCAAGCAAAAATAAAATCTTTAAAAACTGAAATAAGCAATTATTGTGTTGAATTTATCAAAAATGTGAATGAAGAGAATACTATTTTGGAATTTTCAGAGGAAGAATTAGATGGACTACCCGCAGATTTTATTGAAAACTTGACGAAGGTATGAAAATTGTGTTATATTAAATTAGAAGAAGAAATTTTTGACAGTATCTTCATTTATTTAATTAATAAAACAAATCTCTGCACGATAACAGGACAATCTCATCAGAAATCTAAAAACCAAATTTCATTACATTCTGTAATTTTATAAATGAATAATTTAGAATCCACATATAAAAGTATTGTATATAACTACATAATCTTTATTCTAGAGTGAAACAGGTAAAAGAAAAGTTACATTGAAGTATCCTCATTACTTTTCAATCATGGGGAAAGCAAAAAACCCTGAAACAAGAAAAAAATTGGAATATGCATTTAATTCAAGGTAAATATTACTTTTATTGATATGTTTTATAATAAAATTATCAGTTTAATTACTGTGTATAGGTTTACAATTAGCAATATTTAAAAATTGTTTAGGTGTATTGATGAAAACAGTACCATTTTAGAAAAACTGGCTGAATTACGACACGAGGTTGTAATAATTTCATATCTTATTTTAATCATTTATTACTTGAATTTAACAAAGTTTTACTTTTAGACAGCATTATTACTTGGATTTCCTAATCATGTAGCTTTTATAACAGATTTGAGAATGGCTAAAACTGCAAAAACTGTTTATAATTTTTTAACTACTTTAGCATCAAAATTAGAACCTCTCTGGAAAGAAGAAAGAAAGTTTATAATGGAACTTAAAAACAAAGAGGTATGATTTTATTGGATGGTATATTATTGTTGTATAATAAAATATAAAAGCCGTCATTCTAAATATAATTTGAATGTATAAAATGATTTATGTATATTTTTCTGTAATTTATATTGGTAGTGCAATAAACTAGACATTCCTTTCGAAGATAAGCTACATCCTTCAGAACTTCGCTATTATAATAATTTGGTGGAAGAAATCAAATACTCTGTTGATCAGAATAAATTACGTGAATATTTTCCATTGCCTACTGTAACTAAAGGATTATTGAATATTTACCAAGTAAGAAATGTTTTTACAAATAAACATGTAAACTATATTTCTATTAAAATCAAACAAACAACAAACATGAACAAACAGAAGCTCAATGAGTTGCTGTTTGTTCATATATAGTTTTCTAAGATAGCAAAGCAGATTACTAAAAACTAAGATTCATTTTAATTATATATAGTTGTAAAAATTTCTTTTTTTGTTTTTCTCCATATGAAATGGAAACAATATAGTCTTTCATCATAAGTAAATATGATTTTTTTAAAATTGTTTACATCTGGGCACTATAGAGGGCTCTTTTTATAACAAAACCATCATATCTAGAAATATGAAGAAATAAAAATTTTATTTAAGAACAAAAGAGTTAAATTCAGAGAGACTTCTTTTCTGCTAAACAGGAAATGCCATCAGAATTTTTTAATCTTCTGTTTTTATAAGTTGTGTTATAAATGTGAGGAATAATAATAATAATGCTAATGATAATTATATGGTAAAATAATAATATAATTTTGTTACAAATTTAAAAAAAAAAAACTAAAATTGCAAAAGTTCAAATATACATGTAGCTCCAATGCCTAGTGTCATATCTACTTGGCTATTATTTTTATTATAATAAGTCATCAACTTCCAAAGACTTTTATAATTAAAGCTAAACACTCAATTTACACTTATAAAGACTTATAAAGCTAAACACTCAATTTTCAGAGACCTATTTTTTGAAAATGCTTGAGAAGTGAGTTTTATTATTTGGACAAGGAGTTTTGTGTTTAGGGCTACAAGTTTGTTTGAATTGGTGACCCAAATGTCTGATCCTCACTTTATTAGAATAGGTCCTATAGAATGTGCATATAAATCTGTATAAACTTAATCAAATGATTTACCTTAAATAATTGGGCTATAACTCTGCTAATTAAATGATTAATGCTAAGTAATTTTCTACTAGAGGTGGACATTAGGTGCCATCTCAACTAAATTAATAATTATAATTTTAATAATTTATTAAATAATTTAGAATCATCTGAAAGAAAAGAACTGGTGGGGCTTGAACCTGCAACCTCTGCTTGCCAGTTGTGCCACCCCAGACCCTGAGCAAGCCTTCAATTCCAGATTTATTTAAATTTAGATATAACCTTTATAAGTCTGTATACAGACAACAACCCAAATATTTAGAACAGTATGTTTATTGTAAATATATATTTACAATAAACATATTATATGAAATTTAATCTATAATTTAGACTGAGATCAATTGTTTAAGTTGTAATGTGTTTCATTAACTTTGGAAACACATTTTTGAAAATTAAATTTATATAAATTTTAATAGGATTTTAATGAGATATATAGTTATTTAAATATTATTAAATCATTTAAGTAATGTAGTTGTCAGTATATATAACAAGTACAAAGTACAAAGAACAGTTTTGTTAAATGCTGCCATTCAACAATTTATCTGAATTTCAAAATTTGAAATGTAAAATTTTACTTTAGTAATAAAAACTTATTGGATAAGCAAACCTTTACTAATGAGTACAACGCAGTGGACGAATGGCCAAGCAGTTAAGGTGGCAGCTTACCACGCTCTGGATTCAGGGTCAAATCTAGACAAGTCAAAGCCCACCAGTGGCTGAGCAGTCTTCGTACTCTGAACATTGGGAGTTTGGTCGTGGGTTCATGCCTCGCTCAGACAGGCTGGCCACATGGAGTTTTCCAGGTTTTTTCCATGTTTGTAACTCCTAAATAGGGGCCAGTTTCCCTTAAAAAGACCGCCCAGAAGGCATCCTCCGAGGCAGATCACTCAAATGTTGTGTTACCATAACTTAACAAACAAACAAACTAGACAAGTCAAAAAACCCCCAGGAATTTTTCAGAGGAATGATCTTTTCCAGATATGTTGAGCCCTATTCATCACCACCTGGTGTCAAGAGGGCAGAAAGCTGTTTGATCCATCAAAATATTGCCCATAGACTGGAGAGAGATTAAAAAAATATGCATTTTAATCAAAAATAGGCCATGTGAATTTTGTGCCATAAACTTGTGGGAAAAATAAAGAAATAAACATTAAATGAGAACTACTACCAAATTACACTTGATTAAATTTTGTTTACTAATACATAAATTTACTGTTTAATTTTATTTAAAAACTATGTAGATTTATTCATTAGTTTATTTTTATGGATATAAAATTATGATTAATCTTTGAATAATATAATTTAGGAACTTCTGGGTTTGGAATTTGCTGAAATTAAAAATCCTGTTGCATGGCATCCTGATGTTCAATTAGTAAGTTGTTTTTATTAATCTTTTAAAATAATTATTATAAATTTAAGAAATAATAATCTTGTAAAGGATAAAAGAGACCTTTTTCCAATATAACAAAAATCTGTTGAAATGGAAAGGATACTTAAATATATTAAACAAAATGTAAAAATATATACATGACAAATATAGTCATTTTTTACAAACATTTTTAAAACTTAAATAAGACAAATATAAAAAATTCTGTAAATAAAATGATTGTTGAAGAATATGTTGATCATTCAGAATACCTATGTATGTTTTATTTCTAGTTAACCTAACCAGTACTTGCAAGTTAATGAATTTTAATTTTAAGGCACATTTAAAAAAGGTCATCTTATGCAATCTATATGTGAATTGTTTAACATTAACTATAGAGTATGATGACGGTTTAAAGTATAGTTGTCATAGGTGATAGTATAATTTTGCTATAGAACCCATTTCTGTCTAAATGAGACCATAGTTTAGTGATGGTGCAACAATCTCCAAATACATCCAAAGTAGACTAATAGGCAGTGATACAGTTTGTCTGTTGAAGGTTTCAGCCTTACAGAGATTCATTGATGAATGATCACAATTTAGTGTTGCCTGTGTGTGGCATCTCTGTAATAATCTTATGTGCACACAACCATCATTTTGGACATGCAGTCATCACTATCAATTGCAATCATCTATTGATGAATCTCTGTATGGATGAAACCTTCAACCAACAGAAACTGTTACTGTCTGTTGTCTACTTTGGATAAATTTGGTATCCATTGCACCATCACCAGACCATGGTCTTGCTCAGATAGATTTGGATTCTGTTGCAAAATATGTAACCAAAAAAATTAACAATTGCTACTAATATCTATGATGATAATACTGCTAAATAATTGTTATACTTTACAGTTAATGTTACCCCACAATATCCATATATAGATTGCACATGGTGCAAACACAATGCCATTTCTGAACATATTTTATATCACTTTTGATTGTAATTGGAAATCAGTATTTATCAATTTAATTATTTTCAGATTATGATGTAAATTTTCAGGGAAATACAGTCAAGTCTGCATAAGTCGACACCTCTAGGGGAAGTGGAAATGTGTTGAGTTATCCGATATGACAACTAAAGCAAAGTAGAAAACACCACAAAACTACAATTAGGAAAATACAGTAGTGCAATGCAGAACAGTAGTAGTGCAATGCAGTGCTGTAACTAGGCAGGTGCAACAAGTGCACCCACACAGGGCCCACTTGGAAGGGGGACCCAAAATGCATGTATTTGTTTTATTATTTTCCCAAACCTAATTAATTAAGGGGCCTAAATGCAAAGTCCTTCACAGGGCACAGGAATGGCTAGTTACGGCACTGGTGCAATGTACTTCTCTGGCCATCCATCACTGACACTAAAGTTGGTTTCCAAGTTCCCCAACAATTCCCATCGCCTTTTGTTTCAGTATTGGTCCCGAAATGGGAAGATTCAATGAATGAATTTGTTTTAGCCAACGTACCAGAGCATCTTCAATATCTTTGTACAGCAACTTTCTGTGGCATTTTCGAGACAGCCATAAAAAAAAAAAAAAAAAGAGGAAATCAATAAAAAGTTTCTTAATTTCCTCTTTTTTTTCTTCAGGATTCCCACCAATGTTGTTCTTGGAAGGTTTTTTTGTTTTGAAAATTCGACTTGCAAAGTATTCTTACATTCAAATTCAGACACAAGTTTGTATTTTTCCTTCAGTATAAGCATTGTTAGCTTTTGGACACTCATTTCTAACAGAAATGTGAAACACGTGCCACAAATAACGCATGATGTGAGAAAATGCAAAATCGAATTCTGCTGTGACGTTGATATAGATTTGTACATTTTCTTTTTGTTTCTGTTATTATTTTATATATAAAAATACATAAAATGTTAAGGCATTTTTATTAATGCATATATATTAATAAATAAGTTGACTTCCCTCTCGAAAAAAATGAGTTCACACTGCACAGTAAACTCAGTAAATGATGTGAACTCTTTTTTTTTTTTTTTTTTTTTTTTAGGAGNTGCACCCACACAGGGCCCACTTGGAAGGGGGACCCAAAATGCATGTATTTGTTTTATTATTTTCCCAAACCTAATTAATTAAGGGGCCTAAATGCAAAGTCCTTCACAGGGCACAGGAATGGCTAGTTACGGCACTGGTGCAATGTACTTCTCTGGCCATCCATCACTGACACTAAAGTTGGTTTCCAAGTTCCCCAACAATTCCCATCGCCTTTTGTTTCAGTATTGGTCCCGAAATGGGAAGATTTGATGAATGAATTTGTTTTAGCCAACGTACCAGAGCATCTTCAATATCTTTGTACAGCAACTTTCTGTGGCATTTTCGAGACAGCCAAAAAAAAAAAAAAAAAGAGGAAATCAATAAAAAGTTTCTTAATTTCCTCTTTTTTTTCTTCAGGATTCCCACCAATGTTGTTCTTGGAAGGTTTTTTTGTTTTGAAAATTCGACTTGCAAAGTATTCTTACATTCAAATTCAGACACAAGTTTGTATTTTTCCTTCAGTATAAGCATTGTTAGCTTTTGGACACTCATTTCTAACAGAAATGTGAAACACGTGCCACAAATAACGCATGATGTGAGAAAATGCAAAATCGAATTCTGCTGTGACGTTGATATAGATTTGTACATTTTCTTTTTGTTTCTGTTATTATTTTATATATAAAAATACATAAAATGTTAAGGCATTTTTATTAATGCATATATATTAATAAATAAGTTGACTTCCCTCTCGAAAAAAATGAGTTCACACTGCACAGTAAACTCAGTAAATGATGTGAACTCTTTTTTTTTTTTTTTTTTTTTTTCAGGAGAGAAGTTGACTTATCAGATGTCTAAACAAGTGTGGAACAGCAAAAGTATGTTAGTTTATCCAATGGTGATGAGTTAAAAGGTGTCGAGTAAACCAAAGTTTTTTAACATTAATGTCTATGTAAGTCAGCTGGTTCACAGAAAACTGACTACTTAACTGATGGTGTTTAGTTATACCTATGTGATGACTTATGCAGACTCATCTGTAGTTTTAAACATGAATCTATATTTAAATATATTATTCAAACTAATACATAAACTCACTGACTCGATTAGAAATATATAAGGATATAAGGAATTGTTTTTTAATATTCTGACAGATAAATTTAACTTTCTTATATGAAATTATTTTTAAACCAGACATACATCTAGCTATATACATTCACATATATACAAATTATATTGTTTCATTTCCTCACTGTTTTATTTAATATAACAATACTGAAATTTTTTATCAGAACCGGTGATGTTGAAAGCTTATTTATTTTCTAAATATTATACTTACTTTCTTTATAATGAATAACTTTTTGTGTATAAATGGTAATTTATATGCAATTAATCATGTTCACTTAACATTTATAGATTTATCTTCTGAAATTGAATTTTTAAAAAATAGTAGCATTTTCAAAACAACTCTACAAGTCTACAGCTTAGATTTGGTACATGATTATACTTGAAACCTGTTTACAGTAAAATCTACAACAATATTAACATATAGTATGAATGAAAAAGCTAAAACTTTTATTATTATTGGGTTTAATTAAAAATCACTTAATAAAATTGATATTTCATAGTTTTAGTCATTACATAAATTTATTCTGAATTGTGAATTAATGTGATACAGTCGACCCCCCTATAATGTACGTTCCTATAACGGAAATTCCTATAATGTAGCGAAAAAATTGTAGCAACTTTCGTATAACGTACCTCCTATAACGTCGTTTCGCGAGAAGATTGATAGAGTCTGGACCAATAGTGGATGAGCAGCCGAACTACTTTCCTCCGACCCTGCGCCACGCTACGGAGCGGCTAAATTGAGTTTGCTATCGTCTGTTTAGTATTATATATAAATTATATATAAATTAGGTACTGTACATATAATTATATATTAATTATATATAAATTAGGTACTGTATATATAATTATATATTA